GCTAGTACTATAGTGCCAGCGCTAGCACAAAAATCATACAAACTCACTGAAGTGAAGTAAGGCACGTGCTGTGCTAGTGTGTACCCCGTCCCCTGGCCTGCGCGCAGCTCACGCCGGTCGGACACATGTACCGTGTAACAATAACAGTAACTGTGCAGTGTGGGTTCCAGGCCAGTGACCAGTACTGGCAGTAGTGGCCAGCAGATCAGTACAGTATGCAGCACTGCCTACAAGAACAAGCGCTTAAAAAACTAGACTTTACTCAATCTGACGGTCGGTTTCCTCGCGATGGGCATGCTTAAACCGTAAACGATCCGCGGGGCTGACGATCCCCCCCCCCCCCCCTACCCTACTGCTGTAGCTAGTCCTGGACCTTAGATTAGGGACAACCGGCAAGGCATCTCAGCGCTCAGGCAATGCCACATCATGCAGTGTACGTGTACATGTACGTTCTTACCTTAACCCTTTGTGCGCTCAACGAGCGATTTCGATCGTTTCAAATGTGGCTTACTAGAAAAATGAATCGATTCTCCGGAAGCTGACTGTTTGAAATGCACTCTCCGGACGAGAGAGAGAGAGAGAGAGAGAGAGAGAGATAGATAGATAGATAGATAGATAGAGAGAGAGAGAGAGAGAGAGAGAGAGAGAGAGAGAGAGAGAGAGAGAGAGAGAGAGAGAGAGAGAGAGAGAGAGAGAGAGAGAGAGAGAGAGAGAGAGAGAGAGAGAGAGAGAGAGAGAGAGAGAGAGAGAGAGAGAGAGAGAGAGAGAGAGAGAGAGAGAGAGAGAGAGAGAGAGAGAGAGAGAGAGAGAGAGAGAGAGAGAGAGAGAGAGAGAGAGAAAGAGATAGAGAGAGAGAAGAGAGAGAGAGAGAGAGAGAGAGAGAGAGAGAGAGAGAGAGAGAGAGAGAGAGAGAGAGAGAGAGAGAGAGAGAGAGAGAGAGAGAGAGAGAGAGAGAGAGAGAGAGAGAGAGAGAGAGAGAGAGAGAGAGAGAGAGAGAGAGAGAGAGAGAGAGAGAGAGAGAGACAGAGAGACAGAGAGACAGAGAGACAGAGACAGAGACAGAGAGAGACACAGAGAGACACAGAGAGACAGAGAGAGAGACAGAGAGACAGAGAGAGACAGAGAGAGACAGAGAGAGACAGAGAGAGAGACAGAGAGAGAGACAGAGAGACAGAGACAGAGAAAGACAGACAGAAAGAGACAGAAAGAGACAGAAAGACAGAAAGAGACAGAAATACAGAGAGAAACAGAGACAGGCAGAGACGGAGACAGAAAGAGGCAGAGAGAAACAGACGTAGACAGACCAAGACCGACAGAGACAGACAGGGAGAAGCAGAGAGACAGAGAGAGAGAGAGGAGGAAAAGAATGATACACAATCCAAGCCCGAGTGAGCCTAATGACTACACGAATATATCACTTACTGTGCCGCTGGGTGTAGATAACTTGCTTTGATGGTAATCAGCCCTGTTAGATTCATCTGCCATTGAGCCACATAGTCATTACCGCCGGCCAAGTTAATTATTCTTTTCTTCTTTTTTTCACCTGATAAAACACTTTCCGCAGCGCGCGGCCTGCGTCAAATTGTCTTCGTAAGAGTAAGATCACAACTCTTGCTTCGCCTGCTGGCTGGCTTGACGACGCGGACCGGTTTCAGGAGCAATGTGGAAAGCCGCACCCGGAGCTGGCTTCCGCAAAGTCACCGCTAGCAGCACAACAAACCTTGACGGATGCCGGCGACATGCAGACACGCAATCGACTTGGGCAAGGGTTAGCCGAAGGGATAGTGCTATCAGTATCATGAAGTATGTTGAGTGCTACACTAGCCGGTCCTCAGTCAGGGTGAGATGTAGTGAGCAATGCAAGGAGGTAGGTTCTCACTTGCAGGATCTCAGCATAGGCAAGTGAACCGGTTAACCGGCGACGAATGCTTCCACCGCAAGGCAGAGTACGTACGGAGACTGAGCTAAGGACTTAGCCTTAGGTACGATCTTCTTCTAGATGTACGTGACTTCTGCTGTTAACATGTTACTGTCTAAACCAGTTTTCTGTGCCCACTAACACCCCAAAGTGAACTACTCAACCCCGAGTCTAGAGTCTATACCAGCCTAGCAGAATTCATTCGCCACAGTCTAGCTCACCAGTTACCAACCTTATGACTCATGGCCAACCTCATGACTCATGTAAATGTATACAAACTGTTGACTGTTGAACGCTAGGCCTTACAACTAGACTACATCGAGAGGATCGAGGACACTGTTCATAGCCACACCATCAGATACACACGTGAGTCACCTACACGAATATGTATTATTGGCGCCAGCAGCTACTAGGTACAGTTGGTACATGCTGAGAGAGCCCACGCATCGACATGACTGTCTGTTACATGCATGCAGCACATTGCCAGTAAGTAACATTGTCATAGTTGCCCAGAAGAAAAGAAACAAGGCCAGCTCAGTCGGGCTTGCTGGGCAACAATTATTCTAGACCTGGAAGTAAGTAGTAATTTTAGTTTTAGTGTCCATGGGCCCTCCCGCCTTCTATCATGTTTGTGTAGCGAACAACTGAGTTGATCCCGACCTAACGAGAGCTAGATATTCTGTTAGAACAGTCATATCAAACACCAACGTTACGTAGACTACAGCTGCTTTTCATACCAGGCAACGTATTGCCGTTTTGCATTATTAGTAGCACTTGGAGTCTGTTATCCCTGGCAAGTGTGGGTCTTCTTTGTTTCAAGCTATACAACTCACAAGCTACATAGCATTCCCACACTTGAAAGTGTTCTTGTACGTGCTGTGATAGTCTTACTAGTCTTCTTTCTTCTGTTTAGGTCACCTTACAGGTGATGATTGTAAACTTTAGTGTTAGTGTTAGTGTTAGTTTTCTTGCCAAATTGTGTCTGTGTGTATGTGTGAGTTTTCTCATCTTTCGTTTTGTTTAGGTCACCTTACAAGTGATGATTGTTTAGTTTGCTGGCCTTGCCAATTGTGTCACCATGATGTGTTAGTTCATTCATCTGCCTGCATTATTCGTCTTTATATTTCGTAATTTGGCCTCCCCTTCCTCAATGCCCTGATGATGCCCAATGGGCGAAATATTGGCAAAGTTATTTATTTAGTGCAGCTGAGAGCCTGTTGCCGGAATGGCGGTGTTTTCAAGTGCAAGGAATACGCTGCAATGGAGTTTGGGAATTCTGAAGCTACATAATGTTACTATTAGTACCGGTAGTGTTACCGATCACCCAGTACTAGTAGTACTGCACATATTCACACATGCGCGATGACTAACGCTTACACGCTTGCCCTATTTCCGAACTATTACAACAAGCGTTAGCAGACTGCGGTGATTGGCCGCCCTCTTTCTGTTCCGCAGAGTCGAACTACAAACTGCAAGTAGCGCTTTCTCATATCGCGGCATAGGGGATAACGACGTACGAATCACGAACATAGACTCTGCTTCATTGCTCTCCAATCGACTCCATAGTCATGAGCACTATGTCTTTTGAATAAAATAATGTGTCTTATGAATTTGTAGAAGGGATTGGTGCGAATTCGGCCATACTTGGGCCAGTTGGGGTGTTGCTCTCTGGCCTACATGGGAGCTCGCGGTTTTCCTGCCGACTTGAATTCTCACTTGACTGACTCGGGACTGCCATCCAGAGCACACGAGAAGTCCATCGAACCGCCCACTTGGTATACATGCAAGAAAGCACCACTCCCTAGATCCCTGCTCACAGTGTTTCGGGAAATTCACTCCTCATCAGGTGAGCTTGAGTAGGCTGAGGAAGATTGTGCCTGAAGAGCACCACTTATATTATAGTGCTCTCTGAATGAAATTAATAATCAACACTGCTCGCATCTTCCCTGAACCTGGTAGACAGGAGCAGGGTTGATGCATCTATCAACTGTGTCACGCTAAGTAACAGTTAGTTAGTCTATCTCCTGCCTGCTGCCATTCGGAGAGATCCACGGAGAGATCCGCTGGCGTCAGCCGTTCAGGTCGTGCCGAATCGTATCTATCCACCGCAATGGTACTCGACTACGTGGTTTGTTTATATCGTTTGTATTGATGCCCAATGCTGTAGACAGCAAGACTGTAGACAGTTTGCATCGATGGATATCCAGTGCTTGGAACGAGGCGGATTCTTGGCCCTCTCGCACCACATGGCCAAACCACAGCAACCTGCATCACCGGCATAATTATGGCACTAGCTGGAGGTACTTTTGTTTGTGTGGAGAAATTGCTATCGGTGATGCGTTGCGGGTAGACAATCTGCAGCAGTACGCGTAGCTTCGTCCGTTGCCATTTTGTCCAGTTTGTCGTTCAGCAAATTGGACAGAGTACACAATCCGCAATTGCATAAAAGGATCGCCATGATGAGGCAAATCGCCACTTAAACATACACATTCGGGATTGAAGGAATGCCGTCTCCAGGAAATCGAACCTAACGCCCTGTTTGCTTTTTTGAAATTCTCATGTCCATGTCTTCTTCTGAGCCCAATACGGAACCCAGGAGTTTGATTGATTTCCATTCGTTGCTGTAGCTCGTGTTATCAACATACTTCGAAGCATTCAGTTCTCTGTGTATTGAGCTTGAGGTTGTCTTCGCTAAATGTAGGTTCACCATCTATAGCGAGGACAACACCGATCGGCATACTCTCGCTCACAGCCATCACCAGCCTCTCAAAACCATCACTTGGCATCTCCCAGAGGCATAGGAGTAAGCCACAACAGCTCACAACAAACAAAAGCTAAGGACGATGGAAAGAGAGCATGTTAAAAAGAAGACGAACAGTATGAAGTTCAAATGGTTTTGAACACTCGTACCACCAACTATACCACTTTCAATAAATTGTGACGCCATTTTTGTTTTAACACGCATATCGCGGATATCCAAGGAACGGAGAGTGACCCGGTCTCTAGACCAAACCATTATACATGTAGCGGGGGAACAAGGTCCGCCCAGGAACAAAAGGAGCCAACATTGAGCGGAATCGGGGATTTGACCATGTCCGGTGATATTTGGTTATTACAGACACATGCAAGGATACATGTAGATGTTCAAAAAACGTACTTTGTATCCGATGCCAAGGGGAAAGCGCGTATCGAGAGTACGTTATACTGAGGTTTCAATGTACCGGTACACTAATACTGAAGTATCATACTACTCTTGTCGTTCCCTGGTTGGTACAACATGTGGTAGCTGCAAGGTTTTGATCTCTTTGAAGCTGTACATCATACTGTTGAAGCAACGAACTAAAAATCAAAAACAAACAAATAGAAACTGCTGTCTCAAAAACGTGTGTTCTCGAACAGAAACAAAATATTTAGTGGTTTATTTTGTGGCTGGCACAGCTCCCTACATGCGCATTCCAAGCAGACCTTGTACAGGAGTGAAGTGGCTCAATGTAGGCAAGCATGTGGTACGGAGTATTGTGTGGAGGATGACTTCGAGCAACCGACTGCTTCGAACTATGAAAAGTAGAAAACCTGCATGATTATTTTATTGGTTTGAGGGCAAGATTATCAGATTCGGGATATGGTGTCGCCAATACAAGTCGATCTGGAAAAGATCAGGATTATCGAAAGTTGTCTGAAAAAAGCGTAGTTCGTTATCTTTTGAAAGTAAAACTTTATAATGTAGGCAAGCTATTACATTCACATTGCTTAGAAAGAAAATTCTGAGATATAATAATATTAAGGTGTCCACTTTGGGAAGGTTTTCTTATGGAGCCATCGCAAGGAGAAATAAATGGGTCATGTGCACACATGGATGTACACACTTACACACTTACACACTTACACACACACACTCTCTCTCTCTCTCTCTCACACACACACACACACACACACACACACACACACACACACACATGCGCACGCATTCAAAATGGTCATGTCGCCAGGGTTGTAGCTTAGGTAAAGGTGTACTTATTTTACCCTTTTTCTAGGTCAAATATCATAGATAAGCGGGTGCAGAAGCGAAGATACGCTGCTGTCGAGAGCATGTCGCTATACAAGCCTTTCCAAATCCAGCATATTCACCAGTCTGTTTCTCGTGTTGACTGTCTCAACAAGTTGCAGGATCAGTCCTTCCTCTTCGATCAGCTGACGCTTGCTCTTGCGTGAAGCTGCAAAGGAAGAAAACGATACAGTACATAGTTCGAAAGAATCTTTAAAAAACAGATTTAATTTCATTATGTAATTCAACTGATCAAATTCAATTACACTTAGTCAACATAAACTTTATTGCTAGTTATACATTACAAACTTAGAAGTAAGTACTCAGGTCGTGCGCCAAGGAACATATTAAAATGGAAACGAGGAAAACTGTGCGGCACAAGTTATGCGTTAGAGTCCACCAACTAAACCGGGTTTTGAACAATCAGACATGCTATCGAGCAGCGCTCAAGCTCACTTCCTCAAGTTGCCGTGGAATGTCTCAGTACTCTTTGTCAGTCTGGTGCTCCCTTGTGCACGTCTGACTGTTCAAAACCTGGTTTAGTCGGTGGACTCTAATGCATAACTGGTTCCCCACCGGTTTCCTTGGTTCCAGTTTAAACTTAGAAGTAGCGACTTTGAATGGCTAAGCAAATGAAGTCGGTTGCTTGCTTCTACGTGGAACACACCCTTCCTCCCGAACTTAGTACGTGAGTAAAGTATCAAGTTCGGCAGGCCCCTGAAGCGTTTTTCCAAGTAGAAGGAAACAACTTTATTAACTGTACCAGTACATTGCAACATAAGCCTACAACTTGTTGATTGGACATGAAAATGGTTCCACGACTGGAAGCTGAGCAGGCTGCTCTGGAATAGACACTTACAGTCGACCTCCATTCGTTTCCGAATCTCCGTCTCGAGTGCATCGCGCCGCTCCACTAGCACTAGGTCTTGCTGCATGTAGACGAGCTCGGTTTCTTTTGCAACCAGTTGGTTCTTCTCCTCCACAAGTCGCAGCCAGTCCTTCATCAGCCTCTCCTCATTGGGTGTGCCTGAACACCGGCATGAATAGAACAAACAAACAATATTGTTTTTAGCAAGAAGAACTTAAAACATGCAACAGACAACACAAAATTAAGGTTTCCCAGGTAGGAACAATCAATCTTCAATTCTGGAATAATAATCTACCTCTAGGTTAAACTCTGAGAAAATACTAAGATACAAAAGCAGTATCTAAACTCATCGCGAGGAGCATGATTATGGTTTTCCATTCCCAGGAAGTAATTATTCTGTCAATCTTCAGTTGTGTTTTATTCGAAGTGTCTACTTTCGGATTGTGTGACACACTATAATTGTAGGACGTGCAACTCACCTTTGCGCATTTTCTCTTCCAGTCTCTGGCCATGTAATTCCAGTTCCCGGTGCTGATTTGACAGCTGCTGGAGTTTGTCCTCGATCTCAGCCAGTGAGAACTTGTCCTCGCGCTCCAGCCGAGCGCCAAGCAAGCGCTGCATGTGCTTCGGTATCGACGGAGCTCTCCGCTTCTGCCGGTGGTAGATGACTTCTTGCTGAGGTGTCCTGGTGGAAGAGCGCCGGTGCCCAACTCTGCTAGAAACCGTCCGTTTCTTCTCAGGTGCTGGCGCGTCAAACTTGGCGGCGATGTAGCTTTCCTGGTATGGGATTTCCATGGCGTAAACCTTTGGCTTAGTGAAAACCTCCTCGACATTGGTTTTCTTCTCTGATCTTTCTTCCGCTACCTTCTGAGTTGTGTCTGTAACACTTGGCTTACTGTCAGTCTGCTGTTCTGCCTTAGAACCACCATCAGTTGGTTTGACTGCTGTCATGGCTGACGTAGATCCTTGTTTGGACATTGCCTTGTTGGTCTTGCTCTCTTGTTGCTCACTGCCAGTCTTCTGCGGGTTTGGTTTGTGCTGTCGCTTGGCTGCCAGCCCCTGCAGCGGTAAGTCGGTCGGTCGCTTTGGCGGACATCTTTGATTCGTAGACGACGATGATGCTGCCGCAGCCCAAGATTGCTTGTAGACTTCCATATCTGGTGGCGGCAGGCGCTTCTTTCCATGATTCTTGCCCGACTGCGTTCCTGTTGAAGCATAGACCGTCGGTTCCGGAGGTTTGTCAGAAGTGGTGTCAGTTGTGGCCGTAGCAGGTTTTGTGATGACTTCCGGTTTCTCCTGACTTGCTGCGCCTGGTGGTGCTGGTGCGGGATGACTCGGTGGCTTTGGTGCCAGATGTGCGGGCAGTTTTGGTGCCGCATGGCTGGGCGGTGTTGGTGCAGCATGGCTGGGCAGTTTTGGTGCAGGGTTACCGGGTGGTTTAGGAGCCGGCTTCTTCGGCGGTTTGCTTTTGGCCGGTGCAGGCTTGCTCGGTGCGCCCTGAGGTACTGCCTGTTTGCCAGACGATGGTGCAGACTGCTTGTGTGACGATGTTGTGGAAAGAGCTGGAGTATACTCCTTTGCAGACGACTGTACATCGGTGCATTTCCCTCCAGAACTGAGATCACGCACTTTTGTATTGCTCTCCTGGGCTCTACTGTCACCTGCCTTCACTGCCACAACGTTACTACTGGCCAAAGTAGTTGTAGTGTTGGTGGTAGAGGCATCTGAGACAGAGCTGTTGCTGCTGCAATGTGTACTCGCACTGCCAGTGTTCTGGCTGGCATCCGCCTCTCTACCCACGCTTCCACCGCTGCAGGTCGAATCTTGGCTGCCCATGCTGGCATCCAGAGCATAGCGTGACATTCTGCTGTTCTTGTCCGGCATCGAGCATCCATCACGCCTGGGTCCATACACCGGTGATGCCCTGCCTAGGCTCTCACTGGACGTGGCTACGGACAGGTACGAATCTCGGTTGATGGTGAGTTTTCCCGGATAATTTGCCGCACTCTTTCCCGCACCAGCTGCCGCGGCTGTTGATTCCGGCGTCTGTTGGCCAGGTATGACGTCATGTGTTGCATTTCCCTTCTTACCGGATGATGTCATCGATTGGGATATGACGTCATTGCTGTCCTGAGCTGGCCGTCCCAACTGTGCACTCTTTCCATCCAGTGAGTCCGGGGTTTTCCCCACAGGTGATCGGCCCGTGTGCGACTTGTCTGCATCACCACCGCTCGATGCGCCGCCGGCTCTCTGCAGACGCTTGTGCTGCTTGGATGATGTCGTCTTGGCAACCGGAGCTTTGTCATGGTGATCGCTGGCATCACTCTGCATGACAACAGCAATAGAAGAAGCAGGCGAGAAAACGCACTTCAAACATACTCTTATTTCGTGTGATGTGCGATATATTAGGGAAATGCTCTATCTTCTAAGACCCGTAACTCAAGTTTTACTCAAGATTTTTTTCAAACTTTTTTTGCATTGAATTCTGCATAAACCCATCTGCCTTTATCCACTGTCATCTCAGTTTCTGAAAATATGTCACTAGGGGTGATTTTCGCGTGTGCTGGCTCAAATATTACGAGTTATGACTAATCCGCGTTTTAGAAAAAGAGCAGTTTAAAAGTTCAAATTGCTCTTCTTGGCTTTCATGTTAATCTCCTGCACGGTTGGTCAAGCGCAGAACCGTTTGTATGATTCTGCCATATTCAAGTTTTTTTTTCAAGGAGAATCTATTAAAATGCTCTGGCAGTCCTATCTGCCAAGGCCTAACCTAGCCTGAAGTTAGCATCCATGAAATGTACATACAGGATCATGCCAAACGAATCTCGAGCCAATTCACAACCAGGCGTTTAGCCTACTTCAACCTAAATTGGGTGCGCCTTCAGTGGCCAATACATTAATTAAGAGGAGGTAAGCGTTATACTTCGGCAAATGGAAACGTGATCATCAGGCAATAGAAAACCATAGGGTGAAAGCTTAGAGCCCCTCCCCCAATATACACACGCATACACTCACTTACACGCGGGCGCCGCTCCTCAAGTTCACTGTAACTCAACCCCCTCCCCTTTATTCTCCCAGAGTCCCAAGTAGTCAATGTGATAACTTACTCTGTTCTTATAATGTTTCTGGCAGTAGAATTGTCCCTTCACAGTGTGGCAGCTTTCAGCAGTCAACTCGATGCCACACTTGCCACAGAAGAAGCATTCCTTGTGCAAAGACAGCATGCCAACGGCCACTCTGTCAGCCAACAGCACTCGCTTTCCGCACTCGTGGCAGTTGATCGGCGCCGCTCTCGGTCTCCGTGGTGCGGCTGGCCGTGGAGGCGGGGGCTGTGATATACAAAGGACACGAACATATGCACACAAATGCACACACGTGCACACACGCGCACGTGCACACACATACACACACACATACACACTCGTTTCCGTTTTCCCATGTCCCATATTTTTTGACTGCTTCATCTCTTTCTCTTGGCACGTGTAACTGTCTATGAGCACCAAAAATCAAAATCACGTAATTGCATGGCATGCCTCCATTGTCTGATTTGACTTTGTGGAGAAGCCCCTTGGTTGTAAATGCCAGCAGAAAACCGGATGAATTTGGAACCTTTCTGGTATAATTCATGCATATGTGGTATAACATAGATGAAAAATTAGATTTATAGAAAAGAAAAAGACCAAGGAACTACAAGTTACAATAAAATGTCCACTAACACCACCAGTTACTTGACAATCAGCTCGTGCGATAACATTGCACGACACTGACCAATGGTACTGACGTTCTACAACTAACTGCCAATCAGCTCTACTACACATCTTGGATGGGCACTCCAACAGCCTTCCAGCTTCTAAGTTATAGGAATAACATAGGAGGGGAAGGTGAGCGCAACCAATACAAGCACAGGCTGAAAGTCTCAACTGTGAAGGACGCTGGCGGATGTACAAGCACGTCGATGACGATACTGGCAAGACCGTTGGACGATACGGTCGTCCCAAGATTCAAGGACGCAAAGCAACACTTCACACAACTTGTGTGGCTCCAAAGATGCTGAGATCAATATTATTGATCTCCGCATTCCAAGTTGAAAGGCTGTTGGAGTGCACATCCAAGACGTGCCAGAGCTGATTGGCAGTTAATTATAGATTGTTCAGTAACTGGTGGTGTTAGTGGACATTATAGCGTAACTTGTAGTTCCTTCATCCTTTTCTTTTCTATAAAGTTATCCCTGGCCCTCCATCCGAGAAAGGGTAGGTGCAGAATTGGAGGATTTGCCCACCACATGGTGGCATGGCCTCTGCCAAATAATTTCACTGCTTTTCGAGCAGAATCAGCCTAATGCTTCAAGCATTATCCGCCAAGAGCTAAATACTATTGATGACAACATGTCTATATTTCGCATTTAATGTCCGTCCGCATAAGGCCACGTTTTTTTTCATTTTTCTATGTTTCTCATCACCCGAAAATCTAAAATCGCACCCGAGAGGCGGAAATAAAAAATGACCGAAAAAAAGGTTTACTAGACCTTTGGTAATACTAAAATCAACCAATGCACTGTGTAAAATAGCATCCAAAGTTAGTAACTACTTCGAGTAGTACAATGTACGTGGTAAAAGCTTCTGTGCACATGCAGCTAGATTGCGCAACAAAAACTGCATGCTGCGACCTCGAATCATGGGTCACACAGGCCGGGCCAGGGTGCACATGTGCATGTGCTGGTCCCCACAGTGCAGCACAGTATTCTCTTCTCCCACACTCCTGAATCGTACGCGCACGGGTGAGGATAAACATAGAAATAAAAATGTGTGACCTAATTAATACCAAGAGTACATAACCCCCCCAGAGTGTGCAACGCCTGATCCAGCTCCGCATAGGGTCTTGGTCGAGCGTAATCGGATCTTTGCATCATAATACCGTACACATCTGAGGGGAACCCGGGGAGTCGCGGGTACTCTTGAACAAAAGCAATGGTGCCCTGCCTCGAGACCGGCCTTGCGTTGGTGTAGAGTGTACGCATGACATCAGAAGATCCGATTACGCTCGACCAAGACCCTATGCAGAGCAGGATCGGCGTTGCACACTCTGGGGAGTTATGTACTCTTGCTAGTACTTGTCATCACCAACCGTGAGCGAGGAGACCAGATAAAAAGGACGAATGGGGGAGGTCAGTTGTACTCGACAAACGAGTTGTCTTTCCAGAGACGTACGTGTATTGAAGTAGATCCTCATCTCCTTATTGTACATGTGTTTGTATTAATTTTTTGTATTTCTTCAACACTCCCTGGCCGGTCAAATGAATGCCAATAGCCAAATTTATTCAAGGTGAAATGAAACGGTGATAGCCAACCACGGCAAACTATCCTTACCTTCTTTCCTGGATTGACTCCTTCTTTGGCTGAACTGCTACTGGAGGACACATCCATTACGACCTGGGAAATCATCCTACACAAAACAATCAGGAAATACGTGATCCTTTTTTCCATTAGTTCTTTCAAATTTGGAAATTCTTCTCATGCATGCACACACCACGACAATAATTATGACAAAATTAATTTCCGCAACGCAAGCCACTATCAGTCTCCTGATGCTTGCTAGTACATGTACATGTACATGTATACAATCATCATTACATGTAGCGCCTAGAACTCGGACTTGAAAGTTGTAACACACCAAAGTTCGTTCTGCACGCCCCGATTTTCACTTACACTGTATGAAAAGTTTATAAATGTAGTCACCAAATCTCTACGCTCCTACTACACAACTCTGATTTTTTGCGAACATGTATCATGCAGACAATCTAGGGAGGTTGTGCGAATAATTTCCAGGGGGGGTGGGGGGGGAGAGTCAGTGGAACCGCTTATGGGTGCTACGTATAAGCGCGAGTCGGCGGATTTCCCTTTGGGCGCTAAGTACATGTATAAGTTACATGGGAACCGCTTCTAGGCGCTATGTATGCAGTGTGAATCGCTAGTTTGAGTCCGTCGCTGTGACGCGACTTCGCCAAAGCATAATACATTGAAACCTGTGTAACACGACCGCACATGGGACCTCCAAAATGTGGTCTCTGTCACCAGGTGGTCGCCTTATCCAGGGTCAATTGACTGGAAATAGCACCACTTGGTCCTGGTTGCGGTGGTCTTCTAGAACAGGTGGTCGTCTTATCCGAGTGGTCGCCCTGACAGGTTTTACTGTATTACTATTATCAACTGATGTCATGCAAGGACACTGTCTTTGTGTGGCCGTGCTGATTTATGTACATTTACAAGATTGTGCTAAGTAAGAATAATCATAATAATAATAATGTGGCCGATGTGGTGAGCCTGGTGATGCCAAACATGCCGTAGACTCACAAACTAGACCTTCAAGTACATTGTAGAAGACTTCACAGCAGCAGGTTGAAAGTGCAGGCTTTGTGGTATCACATTGCAGGTGTTAGCGTCTCACCTAATGCCGTCCTGTCACCGATAAATATACGATCCACGTACAGCTACACTAGGCCCACCTCGATGTTGGTTCGTATCAACCCTGATGACGGGCCCGGGCCTCGCCAAGAACGAAATAGCGTCAGACTGCACTCCGGTACTTGCTGCAGGAGGAGCTTCACAATCTGGAAAAATCTGCATCTATGTAGAGTTGGTAATGTTCCTCTGGTAAACCCATCCTCCGATTCTGCTTGTATTTAATTACAAGGAACAGCTACGAGGTAACAGCTTCCAGCCACAGACCGTGGCATCTTGAAAATGAAAGTGAAAACCAGTATTTCCTCATCTCCTTTCTGTTACTAGTGTTAGGTTCATGATCACATACTGGAAGTTGATACGCGTATCTCTAACAAGTGACCATGGAAGGCGACACCAAACCTACGTGTCCCGACTGTGCTGTGTGTGTGTAACTGATATGTTCTCTATTCCATTTCATTGAAACGGTACCACGTTGCCCGTGGACATACATGTACAAACGGCTGTTGAACATTTCCTTTCTCTTCCTGGGGTTCAAGCGCGTCCCGGTCGCTACACGTCGTCAGTCGGCAGTAAAACCTACTAATAGTCACGTCGTCAGTCGGCAGTAAAACCTACTAATAGTAGTACTATAGCGCACACCTTAGACAGGCAGCGCACAGTTCAGCAAAGGAATGAGAAGAACCCCCAGCTGCTGCGGGCGTTGAAGAATCGCTTGGCGCGCCGGCGGGCATACAGTGCTCGAAGCCATAGTGGCATAGACCGAGGCCGATCGGTGCAACTGCTTCCAGCACACGACTGCATGCAGGGTTGTCGGTGTTGCTAGCACGCACTCAGGCTGAGTTGTTCCTTTCCCCATAATGAGACTGTACCGTTGAACGCATGGCGGATCAAGGGTGGGTATCGTAACAAACTGACGTAACAAAGACCTGCACACGCAACCACTATCCACCAGTCCTAACGAATACGAGGCCAGTGGAACTGGCAATCAGTAAAACCCCACTCACTAGTCCTGCAACATGTTATTGTAATAATAACAGGGCAGCAATGTAGTGTGCTAACCTTTCCGCTTCTGTCTCTTTTGAGCTCTGCTACATGTGATGATTGGTTGTCCACGTGAAAAAAGGAAAAGAAAAAACCCAAGAGAAATGACAGTACAGTACAGTACAATGTAAATTGTTGCCAGGCATTTCAAACGTCGTGCGCCGGAACTAGCCGACCTTCATCATAATACCTTTATGGCGAATGTTGCTCTTGTGTGGAGGTCACCAAAGGCCTTTCCCGTCACTTTTCTCCCTTTCTCTTCAGACATTCCTAGGATGCTGAAGGGCAAGTGATAACACCCGGAATGTTCTCAAATCGCACAGCTTTTCACATCTGAGAGATGGCGATCCAATCGGCATTATATTGCCATATAAAGGGTCCCACCGATGCAATTATTAGACAGCTGATGCGGCTTTCTGATGAACCGATTACTTTGGCATGAAGCAAAGCAACTGCAGACTGCAATTAGACCCCTCTCTCTCTCATCTACAATGACTATGTACATGTACGCTCCTTGGATAATCATGTCCACTGCTTAACCCGTCATTCACTGATTATTGTACGGAGAAATGATTATTTCGAACTCTACACTGCTCCGAATAACACAACGGTTTCTAGTGGGCTCTCCGTGTGCTAGTTTGTACGTGAAGTGTGTGGATTACAGTTAGGGCTGCGCCCCACCCGCCTGTGTGGACTCACAGGAAGTGTGAGCTACGAAGTCTGAAGTCAAAGAAGATGTTGAACGGTCTCTGCTGGGATGACGACTACACCATAGCTCAGTGGTTAGAGCATCGCTGGCTACAAGCGAGGGTCCCTGGTTCGAGTCCTGGTGGTGACAGTCAATTTTTTCTTCAGACTTTTCCCGTTTGCGTCTTTCCCTCAAGCCAGTGAATGTTTCTAGTAGTGCAGGTAGTATACCCTCTAAATTAGTCTTCAGGAATAGCAGTCCTAAAGTTAAACACCAACTGAGACTAACGGCCTGTAGGAGAACGTTGAAAAAAAATTTCACGGTTCGCGTGAGCCTCGGCTGGAAGCCGGGCTTTCCGCATCCGTAGGAACGCCACCGCCCTTCAAGGATCAAGGCGCAGATGCAGCTCCTAAAGCAACGTTGAAATAACATACACATACAAGTACATGTAGGAGTGAACCTCGGATCGCTACCTGAAGACCTTTGCTTCGAAGTAGAGTAGGAGCAACATGTGTCAAGTAACTTGTCCTCTATCAGATCAAGGTGTGGGTCCTCTTCACTCAGTAGAGACAGAGTCGAGCGAGCTGGACTCCCGGTGCCGAAAGGTGGGCTCACCACCCCTGTATGGCAACTTCAACCATGTCCAACCCAGCCCAAAACGAAGTGACTATACTGTAGTAGTCATACTGGAAAATAAAAAAATGAAATCCTTGTAAACAAATAACCTACGTGGAGATAATAATTTTAATATAGCTATGAATAGGATGAAGGCCGCAGACATCACGCAACTACGTTACTTGTTACTTGTACATGTTACATGTCAAACAAGTAACGTACATGTAGTTGCGTGATGTCTGCGGCCTTCATCCTATTCATAGCTATATTAAAATCCTTGTAATTTTCTTGTAAGAGTGGATATTAAGATCATCTCTCACATTGCCCGTAGCTAGTATTATCATTGTTCACGTGTACAACAGTGAATGTTGAATGGCGTAATCCCAGCACAAATTGCTATGTCTAACATACAGTACAAACAATAGGAGGACAGAGGAAGTGTTTTTACTCAGAGTTTCACGCACTAAGCGATCATCAGAAAACAGTAATTGGAAATCTGGATCAGTTTTGGTTTATATCCTCACAAAGCAAAGTGTAAATAGCGGCAGTGCAAAGCGTGAATGACAGCAAGTGGTGAAAGGTGACAACCACTGGAGCTTGTTGTCTCTTACTTAATTAGGTGATGGCTGTAGCTGGTTTAAAGTTCCGAAGGTAGTACCTATTCTCATGGCGACACTTCGACACAAGCTCACTCCTTTTGTTTAGAGAGAGGTGCTCATTCCGCCACAGACAACACGAGAAGGACACCCGCCTATCGCAGTACGTCTGGACCAAAAAGGATGAAGGGAAGGCATGCAGCATTCAATGGGCGGTACACCGCAGAGCAGCGGCCTACAGCAACAAAAGCAAAAGGTGCAACCTGTGCCTGGCGGAAAAATTGGCAATCGCGCAAGCACCCAAGCACCTCTCTCTAAACAAAAGGAGTGAGCTTGTGTCGAAGTGTCGCCATGAGAATAGGTACTACCTTCGGAACTTTAAACCAGCTACAGCCATCACCTAATTAAGTAAGAGACAACAAGCTCCAGTGGTTGTCACCTTTCACCACTTGCTGTCATTCACGCTTTGCACTGCCGCTATTTACACTTTGCTTTGTGAGGATATAAACCAAAACTGATCCAGATTTCCAATTACTGTTTTCTGATGATCGCTTAGTGCGTGAAACTCTGAGTAAAAACACTTCCTCTGTCCTCCTATTGTTTGAACCAGCTCTACCACTCGGTATTGAGCACTCTCTTGGACAGCCTGGAACCTCTCTGTTTTAACATACAGTACATGTAGCTGTTCGCTATCAACGCGTCCGCGATGGGCAGGACTGAGGTCTGAGGCACAACAGAACATTTGTTATCATTGCGTTGACTTTAAGTTTAACACTTGACGATGTACTGTATCGCACAGGTTTTGGTCTCAACAAGGCCCCAGCCGTGTGAATGTATCCACAACACAGGAGAGTGTTCAAACCAAGATTAGACAGATCGACCCGGCATGAAATCAGCGCAAACGCACTCGTTTTCTACAGTATGTTTCGATTAACCACCCACGTTCTAGCTTGTGTTGTGTTGGCTAAACGTATAGTGCCCACTGACGTGTAGACGTGTAGACGTAACATGTACATTGTTTTATTGTTGTTGTGTCTAGCCTGCTCTGTGTGCTCTTAGTCTTACTGCTTGACGCTATGTTTTGCTTTACTTCAGGGCTATCTCTAGCCTGTGGGTAGTGTTTGCATCAGAAGTACAGTAAAACCTGTCACGGCGACCACTCGGATAAGGCGACCACCTGTCCCAGAAGACCACTGCAGCCAGGACCAAGAGATGCTATTTCCAGTCAAATGACCCTGGATAAGGAGACCTCCTGGTAACATGGACCACGGTTTGAAGGTCCTTGGAGCGGTCGTCTTAGACAGGTTTCACTGTAATATCTCATGTTCTTAGTGCTGTACCTCCATTGCTGTGCCTGGCCCCAAACGTTGGACATTAACCTGTTCTTCTGCTTACACTACCGAGAGATAGTTTTCGGCTAGGGTAGTGTGTGGTTTTGGAGCAAGATGAAGTGGCTTCAGTGTAATACATGTACAGTTACAATACACGCCTACATGTAGAGCCCATGGAGAGGATGAAGAAGATGTTGAATTAATTTTATAGAATGAAACAAAATTGTAGCTACAAGGAGGACTAACGGTACTGGAAGTATTTCCTATGTCAACATGTATTTCCCTTTCGTTGTGTGCCTTGCGAACATCGTGTAACATTTTACACATACATGTCGACATATAGGAAACGCTTACAGTACAAATAGTCCTCCTTGAAGCTACAAGTCTCCGAAACGCTTGGAAACAAAATTGTATTCGCACTAAAGACGAGGACCAGCCCAACCGTTACTTCTCTTTAAGCTTACACCTCTTGCAAGTATCTCTGGGAAAACTATTTTCAGCAGTACAATAACGCAAATTTATAGAAGAATACATGTATAAATTATGCCTAGCAGACTCATCGGAGGACGTTAAGGTTGGTTGTAACTCTGAGTTTCATGCCGCTAGGCAATCATCAGACAACTGATCTTCAGGCATGAAACTCAGAGTTACAACCAACCTGAACGTCCTCCGCTGAGTCTGCTATGTACTAAGCTCTGTCTCTGACATTGAGCACTCTCTGCAGCCCGGGGATCAACGGATTTATAAATTATGCCTAAACCTTCAAAGTTGGTAGTGCCACATACCTGAGTTGCTATGTGGTTGCCGAAGTGGAGACATACAGCACAGAGGTGTGACCAACAGAAGCAGATCGCCAACGACTTAGGGCGAGGTAGTACCAGAAGCAGCGGTTAGCACAGGAGAATAACTAATTCTTTGTCTCTCCCGCTCTTTACCTCTCTCTCTTTCTCTGTCTCTGTCTTTCTCTCTCAAACTCAAAACTCTTCAGAATAGAGACTATCAGTAGTGGTACTCTATCGCACTGAAAAGATGGCGCTGAAGTGGCAATTCACCCTTCGCACAATGTCTGGAAGTTCGAATGTTCTCCTTTCTCCGCTATCCGAAATCCGAGAGCCTTTGTAAGAGTTCCACGACCGTCCACACACTAAGCGCTTGTCTTTGACATGTCTGTCTAACGCAGAGGAGATAGCGAACTGGAGGCTGTTACCTGATCCCTAGTGGAATATCAAGTGCATCGTAGGTCCGTTGTGAGCTTTGGTGTTTTGCCAACGTGCCTTAGTCCGGGCTGATTTGCCATGTACATGTATGCAGTGGTAGGGATCAACACTGACAACAGCCATGCAAGATGGCGTACTCGCCTTTGATTGAATTTGGCTATGTGCATGCGTGCATAGACTCGCGTCGCTGTAAATGTAAGCATCGCCTATCGTGAATCCGGCTAGTAGTAGTGCAGTGCATGCTGTCCTCTGTGCAGGCTATTCTGCACTGTGCCGTCTGGATATTATCGGCAGATGATTGCAATACCGGACTGCGCCAGCACTTTCGCGGCTGCACCGGGCGGCTGCATGTCGTCGCATACACTGGCAGCCTCTTGCCACTGAGTACAGTGTACATACATGCACATGTATACATTGAGAACATGACTGTCCTATAGCATACAGTCATGAACACGGCCCGTCCAGACAGCTCGAAGCAGAGTGCTCAATGCACAAATGTGCAGAGCAGCATACACATACACATACATGTACACATACAAGGAGCATTTACAACGGAGGTGAAAGGCAGTGTATCTCTAACTTACTTCAAGTTTCTTGCATTTCACCGATCGCCAGACAGCAGTGAATGCCAAATGCTTCTGTCTGATGATCGCTGAAAAGTGAAACTTGAAGTATTAGTTGCAGCAACAATGTAAACCTCCTTTCTCATCCAGTCATCTTACATGCACTTGTGACTGGGGTTTGTGTGTCTATCATGCGCCATAGTCAAAGGCCAAACGCCATCATGATTGCATGACTGCGACCCACTCAACCATGTTGCTAATGCCATCTAAGGCACCGTTATAATAATGCACAATCATGTACACATTGTGTAATATTTTATTGCAACATCTCACGACTCAGTGCAAAACACTGGCCAATGTGAAGAGAGTGGGTGATAGCCAACCACGGAGATAAAGATAAGTACAGGTTAGGAATAGGAGGGAACACGAAAGAGAAGCAAAAGCAACAGCAGCTGGTTATAAACTCTCTATCTCCCCCCCCCCACACACACACACGCGCACACGCACACACACAACACACACACGCGCACGCACGAACACACAGAGACACACAGAAACAGTCACAACAGGGTCACAACAGGGTTCGAGTACATTTACTTTCAAAAGTGCTCCCTTAGGCCTTAATTCAACTGTGAGTCTCTCAAGATCCCTCACATGATGGGTCAGTGATGTTGTACCATATTAGTACTTCTTACTCAGGCTGAGCTCAGGCTGGTCATTGTAGGGACCGGCGGATTATGCTCGAAAAGGTGGCAGACTCTGCTCGAAAAGCAGTGAAATTGGCAGAACCACACAAACCTTATGGCGCGCAATTCCTCGAATTCTGCTCCATTTCTTTATCCACATGCCAAATATGCATGAAACTAACCGTGGCAAAAACTCAATATTTCACTGTGACCAAGGAAGATGATTCCTGGAAATGGGTGAAGCTGCTGGGGAGTATGCTAGGCACAGCAGAAGACATAGCAGCCAGAGTGTCTGCTGCAAATCGGGCATTTGCAAGCATTCCATGGAAACGCCACAACCTGAATTCCAGGCTGTGTATGTTTTCCTGCCTGATATTGCCTGTCTTGCTGTATAATTGTGCGCTTTGGACCTTATCGCAAACATTAACCGACGTCGTCAATGTATGGCACCGGAAAAAACTACGTACCATCATTGGTATCACGTACCCACAACGAATCTCGAACACAGCGCTGTATGCCAGAACCGAGCAGACCCCACTATCTCAAGTCTGCAGGCAACGGAGACTGCTGTGGTTCGGCCATGTAGTGAGGGAAGGCGAAGAATCGTCCTCGTTCCAAGCCCTCCTAATGTCAATCAACACAACAGACATACGACGACCCCGAGGACGACCACGTCTGAGATGGATCGACGTTGTCAAGAAAGACTTACAATGCATTAATCTGTCGCTTCTGGATGCTGTGCAATCTGCTTCTGATAGAGCTGCTTGGCTCGAAATTGTTAACAGATGCGTTGACCTCATGCAATGAGTGAAATGCGAACTGTCATTATTATTATTATTATTACCAGAAAAAGTACCGAATTCTGCCAATATTTCTGCCGGCAGAATCCGGCGGACCCTACTGGTCAGCAGTAACTCTCTGCGTCTGATATCACTATCATACGTTTGCATGATATCATTCGTCTGCGTGATTGGCAGTAGTAGTCACTGTCATAACAACAGGCCCTGATTACGTTTGAACGCGTTGAGGTCTTTGTCCATTGACGGCATTGTTGTTTTCACACTTTGCTGATTGTAGTAAAACTTTGCGTTCAGTACTTCTTACTGAGACCATACATGTACATTATACATGACATGTGCATTGACCATGTATCAACAACACACAGGGAAAATTGTCACGTGAGTAGAAAATTCATTAAAGTGAACAATAATTATATCTCAGTGGAACTAACCTCGATGCAGTGTAAGTATGAGTTGTGTGGGCCGATCAGTACCAACACGTTTAGGGAATCTGGGGGGGGGGAGGGGGGGGGGAGGGGGTCTGGGTCACAGATATCCATTTGGGGGAAAAATGGCCTGAAGTCAAGACCACGAGGCCAGGGTAAAGACTGATCGGTGCATGGTATCGATTTTAATCGCTGCATGCAGGCCAGCTAATGTTCTAATGTACAACGATGTACACATCGTGTCATACTTGTCGCTCCATTGACATTAGTCACTTGAGCTACCGGTTCGACATGACCTGCTTCAGTTCAGCTCAGGGTCTCAGAGCCGATCATGCCGGTATGGTGCGGGTAACACTGTTGGCTTTTGTCTTGCTGAAGCCAGCGAAGGTCTGCTGCGTAAATCAAACATTCTTCTCCTTGAAGCTTGAACTAACACGTACAGAAATACATGTAATTACTATGAGGCTATAATTATGACGCATCGATTGCGACGTGCGCAATGCGTTCTTAGTTTTATGCAATGCCTATGACACTCCAGCAACCTTGCTGAAAGTTCAGGGACCTACGCTATGCGTGTTTGCCTAGCTCATCATGAATGTTATTCGATCTGATGGAAACGTTTTTGCAATACAATGATGTCGCCGATCAGTTAATGCGATGACTCTCGAGGCGGCGGGACCTCTCTTCTCCCATATTTTGCTCTCTGTGTAGGTACGCCTACCAACACCATCTACTCAGAGCTTCAACACTGTCACCCTAGCTGATATTTTGCTGTTCCTCATACAATGTAGTCCTCTGTTTGACATTCCCGACCCATTAGCAGCACACCCAAAAACATTCGAACGATAATGCTAAAACCACACCTACAACCTTGATAACCTAGGCAAAAAAAGGCATAGCAGTGTTATAATTTTTTCATTTTTCCTACTGTTTCAAAACATAACATGGGATTTGAACATTGTAACTACATGTACATGTAAATGTACTAGCTATCAGCTCCAGCACGTCTCGGGTGCGCACTCCAACAGCCTTCCAACTAACTTGCAACATACCACACAGCTTGCGTGGCTTTAAAGATGCAAAGATCAAAATGAAGGGGAAGCTAAGCGAACATGAACCATGAAAAACCGAAAAATGTGATTATACACATATTATACACAACTGTATACTCTGGACACTACACAGGAAAGTTTATGGACGCAACGCAACTGTATCAATAAAGGTCGGCGACAGGCGGGCACAGGGATGAAGCTATGCCGTATCTATCACCATGGTACGTGTACCACTCCGCCGCCGGAAGCGACACCGCAAACAAGAGCCGAGCACCGAGCGAGTTTCGCAGCCAGCTACACGTACATGTACATGATTGTACATGCTTTTGCCAGTTTTGGTTGACAGCATGTAACAAGGTGGAGGACCACGGTGTTCGGAAACAGTGACCTTTCTACAACCACCCACACACGGTTGGTAGAGCCCAGGTCTTCACGACCATCTGACCCGTATCACGGTGTGGGTGTTACACCCGATTCTGACACTCTGTATTCTAGCCTCTAGGGAGTTGTCTTAGTTTTCTTGTTCAACCAACAACATGTTTCAACTAATTTACTTTCACCAAAACAAGGTTTATCTAATGCCATGTACATACACTGTACATGTCAGAATGGACTCGGGTGAAGAGCCAAGGATAAATTTAGAGAAAAGAAAAAGGGCCAAGGAACTACAATGTACATGATTGTACAAGTTCCAAGTTGGAAGGCTGTTGCCTGTTGGAGTGCGTATCCAACATGTGCTAGAGCTGTGAGCCAGTTAGTTGTAGAACGTCAGTACCGTCGGTCATTGTTGTGCAATGTTATCCCATGAGCTGGTTGTTTAGTAACTGGTGGTGTTAGTGGACATTATAGTGTAACTTGTAGTTCCTTGGTCCGTTTTCTTTTCTATAAATACATACATGTACATGTACATGATTATAAAGTGATTCGCACCATACTGAGACCATGCAGTGTACAGCGTATGGTGAGATTTGGTTGCAAGAGCAATTGCGTCAGTATGGTACCAACCGTACCATTCACGATTTCACGTACATGTAGATCTACGACTCTAAGAGCACACGTATGTCCATGATTGTATTGGTATTACGCGAGTATTCTTTTGTAATTCTTTTGTAAACATATCCTGGGTAGTATACGTGTACATGTATTTACAAAGAACGGAGACTCCCTCGATTTAGGCTAAGGCCAGTGGCGAATCCACACAAAATACAAATACAAACCATGTACATGTACATGTACATGTATGGTATTATAATTATTATAACCTAACACTGGTTCAAAACCATTATTAGATAAACTTTGTTATAGTTCACGCATATTGTTAGATTGACAGCATGAAACAAGGTGGAGGACACTGTGTTAGGAAACAGTGACCTTACTATAACCTTCCGCGGTTGGCAGAGCCCTGCTTCCAAACACAGTGCCCTCCACCTTGTTTCATGCTGTCAATCTAACAATAATG